CTATCGGAGGAGACCGGGCTTTTAATCCAGACCCTTTTACGGAGGAAATGCAGAATGTGTGTGTATTGTGAATATGAGCAATGTCTCATTAAAAATACAATGAATTTAAAATATAAATAAGAAATTAAAAAAATTAATATTTATTAAAGATACGTTATTAATGACTCGGTCTTTTTTTACTTGTATTCATGTATTCATTATTAATCCATAAAATATAATGTGAGAATTTCAAAATAAACATAAAATAACTATAGCGGTTAATATATTTTATGGATTAATAAACATATTTATTTTTATTTAATTATATACAAAAAAAAAATACTGGCACTCCCTGAGAATTTGTGTGTAGATACTAAGTATTATAATTTTTTACAACGTCACACATACATACCTACCTATAACATGTATGCTTAAAATATATTGATATACATAAAATACATAAAGAAGCATTTATTAAATTTTGTTCGAATATTTGTAAAGGAAAATTAAATTAGTGTTTCATCATCAAATTCACTAATTCTGTTCTTAGAAACACATATTGATTACGTCCCACGAATTCCTTATGTGGATTATATGAAATGTTTGTTATAAAATGTGTTAATGTGAGAATGCCATTTGCAGTTCCACTATATTAATACTATTACTACAACTACTTCTATAGTGTAAGTACTACTAGTCTACTGTATGTCTGCGCCACACTTTTATGATCATATATATCTAAATCTAATATATGCAATATGCATACATATTTTATATAATTCCTACATCTGTATAGTATTTATAGCCTGTGAGATATAATCGATTGGCAAATGACAATATTATACATGATGTGTTTATTTATTTATATCAGAAAAAAATCGATTTATCTCTCAATCACTCGATTTTTGAACCATAATCATTCCATAAAATCACGTTTGGTATTAATCCCACGGGAAAACACTGTTTTATGTTTCGTATTTTTAAATTTGTCCCCGTGGCTAAATCTAACGCTTGAGTCACACTTCGTGACATTTTATTTTATCATTTTGATTATAATTGCAATTTTGCATTTTTACAGATACTATAATTTATAATATTTAGCAAAATAAGCAAAAAATATTTTAGTTAACAAATTATTCATCTACTATGTAGTCTTGTACACTTGTACACACAACTTAACGACATTATTTTATACAATAATAATTATTACTATTATTAATATGTTTATTTGCTATTTTTATGAAAATATTGAGATTTTATTTCAAAGTTTTTCATTAGTATTTATTTAAATTTTAAACTTTACTGTTTTTCAGTTAAAGTAGACAATAGTCAAATTATTATTAATATATTTTATAAATTATAATACTAACTACCTACTTTAATTCTTATTCTATGTCAATACTCATTATATTTTCAAAAATAAACAATTATGGATATTCAAAAATAAAATATTTTTTATTTTTATAATATCACATTATACTTTAGAGTATATTATTATTTAATTAATATTGATAAACCATCTTATTAATTAAACGAATTAATTAAATAAATATATTAAACATTCCTAATTTTTTATACAAGGTACTTTAATTAAAACCTCAACTATACAAAAAAGATTTTATCATAATATAGCCGGGACTCGTTAAAATACCTTTTTTTATCGAAAATATTATTTTTTTTAAATTGTTTACTCAACTCAAAGGCTGATTATCATTTATCGTATATTAATAAGCTGTGCAGGCTACTCAAGAACAATTGAAATTTTCATTCGCCCAAACTGCCGAGTAAAACTGCCAAACGCAGAATTTTAAATCAGAATAAAAGACTATACATACGTATAAAGGTCACATAATTTACACTCCAGTGACTTTACCTTAAAGCTATATGTATGAAAGAAAGTGCTTTAGAATTAATAACTTAAAAGTAAACGGGTGAAAACATTTCGTTGGGCTTTTTTTGTTGCAACCCTTGTAAAATAATATAATCTCTTTAAATAATAAATATGAATAAAAAAAATGAAAGTGATACCATAAAATGTACAAGAAACGACCTATTTTTAATTAGTTAATTTTTTAATAAAAATAAACTGTGTCAACATAAACCTATACATTGCAATATATAAGTATTTATATAATATTTAATATGATTAATAATCATTGATTATATATAAATACAATAGTGTATGGTAAATATGACATAAGACAAAAAGGCCATTTGTCTGGCATGAGGTAGTTTATGTATACTCGATAGTTTGGATAAAGTATATTATAATGATAACTATTCTATTATATGGATCCTTATATTGACCAACAGTTCCTTTGAGGTGTTCGGTTGGATTAACCAAGATTTATTTAGTAACGGGTTCGATGATACGAGGGTTTTTTTTTTTTTATTAAGTGAAATTCTTTGAAGGTTTTCCTTTTGACTTGATAAAATAAATTCGTTAAATGTTGGATTATAAAGGTCTTTGTCGAATGATTGGTTAGTGACTAGTATGGGAATCTAGTGAACCATTGCTATAGGTTGTAAGTATGTATTATATATTTATATGCAGTATTTAGATATTGATACGTATATTTCGATTAAAATTTTTATCAAAGGCTATAGTCACAAAAAACCTTGGTCGGTCTGGATTTTAATTGAACAAAATTGGACTCCTAAAATTTCTGTAAATGGATGGGACAATAGTTATCAAATTTAACTCTGAACCACAATATAAAAGCCAAAACGCCCTTACACAAGTATTTGTATCCAAAACTAATATGAAAATTAATTAATTTATTGAACTAAATCTTACTTTCGATTATTGTACATTCGACAATGAACATATGTAATATTACGATTTTACGTCTATACAATATATTATATGCTGTTCGAAAAAGTGAACAATATAATATGATATTATTAATTATAATGGCATAATAGTAAGCGTGAACATCATGATATTACATGATCAATAATAGTCCGACGTGTCAATCTACTACACATTTACACGTTAAAGTCCGTGTCACTATACGTCACTCATTATTCATTATTATTATTATATTATTATATTTTCAATGTTCTATTTTGAAACTACAAAAGTAAATCGTTACAATCTCGCCACCATCTAAATTTTTTTCATCACACATTTCTACCTACTATGTTTTGGGTGCGATCTATAAGGGCCCGTGAAACGCATTGTCCTCGTTTTATTCATGGGAACACATCCGATTAAAAACATCACACACGCACACACATACGTAAATACACTATACACAAAAATACACAATAATTCTACTACATACTATATTATAAGTCTTATGTAGAAGTATATATGTTATTTGTATGTACGCATTGCAGCCCGTATTGTTGTTAACTCTTCGTGTCTATCACCGTATATTATATTATTATTATTTCACTGTATAACAGCACTGCGTGTAGTCGTTTCGAAAGAATATTTGTGGTATACGCACTTCGACTTTTGTCCCGTTGACAGATGTCTAATAAAATACTGCAGATGGAGTGGATAGGAATAGTAGTGGCCGTGGCACCTGGTTGCTTCAGGGCACGTCAATATTATATAGACGGGTACCATCCATTACTGTTGTACTCGCTCACTAGAACGTAGTTTGGCTTTTGTAGTGTTGTTTTTTTGTTACTGTTGTTACCGTCTAATACTGAAATCAAACTCAAATAATGCTTTTAAATGGTATACAATAAATTTAATATACATGTGACCCATATAAGTCAGGTACCTACTACTTATACCGTCTTGAAAAATGCATCCTACTGACATATTATTTGTAGTATACACTATTATAGTGCACTGCGTACTTGACCAGTATCTACCTATAACCAATCTGGCATCTGTATTCTTTATAGCTGGTATAACTTACAAACTATTCTAAAAATGCATTTATATAATTTATATTATATTATATTTAAACAGGAAATTTTAACGCCGTTGTTTACCTTTAGATTTAAAATTAAAATGAATCGTTTACGTTTGTAGTTCATTTTTTTATATATGTTAAATAGTATTTCATTTCATTTTTAAATCAATAATTATGTACGTGGGTTCAAACGTACGTTATATTATGTGTTCATAATACGTAAGAACCTTCAAATTCATGGTTTTTAACTTATTGCCATCTAAATAAATAAATAATTTTAAATTTACAATTTTTACATTTAATTAAAATAATCTTTATAAAACAAAAGATTGCCTAAACTGTTTATAATCATTGACAAGAGTTATTGTAAAAAAATAATTATTATTTATTTTTATTACACTATCATTAAAATTTATCTGTATATAAAATTCATTTTTTAGAAAAAATGATGAATATATACACCGCAAAATATATTTAAACTTTTAAATCGCTTTGCAATTGAAATTCCGGTATAATATTTCTCGTCAAGAAATAATTTAAAAGTTTATAATATACTTAATAAAGTAATACAATTATATTTTTACATTACAAAAGTCAAAGTATTTCAATTAAAAATGTTTCTGAACTTTTCACTTTCTGAGTTTTCAAATGCTTTGAACTTTGAAAAAATGCACGATCCGTGTTAAATTGCAATTTGATAACAAATAATACAAACTCTATAAAACACATATCGTGTTACTTATTTTTTGTAATGCATACGATACACATACGTATTTCTATATAATATATATTTTGTATATTATAGTATAATTATTCACTGATTCACTATATAATATTATTATTTTTATGTCTCTCGCATTCACTAGTTGGTCCGGCAGGATCAACCAATAAGCGTATTATTTTTTTCAGCCTTAAATAATAAACCCGAATGTCATAAAATTGACTCTATCATCAAACTTTACAATAAATATGTTGTATTGACTTAATAGTTAATATTATGGGTCAACGTTTTTATTGCAATTGCAGTTAAATGCCATTGTAATACACACAATTCAATAAATTTAACAATATATAAATAATTTATATAATGTTGCAAATGTTCTTACATCTATCTAAATCCAATGGTGTTTTTTTTATTTTTTATAGTTTTTCCGGATGAAGGAGAACCAGCACCAAATATTGAAGAATACAGTAGCATTTCCAATTACGACGACTATGATACGGAGACAAATTCTTCCACTACTTACGAGTAATGAAATAATTATATTGTAAAGAAATTGCATTTATTTTGATAATAATTAATTTCTATTTTATACAGAACTGACAATACTGACGTACTTTTACCAAAAGGGAACAAATCAAGTAACTATAATTCATTTATTTATTTTTTTAATTTGTTTTAAAATTTAATTAATAATCTATCTGAAATCTCTCGCTTCTCGCATAGTTCTAAAGTGAATTTCTCTACAAATTTACTTTTGAAGTTTGAAAAATAATATTTAAGTTTATTATGAAATAAGATTTATAAATTAATTTATAACGATTAACGTAAATATATTAAAATGTATAATTTACATTACCTTGAAACGCATCTTAACATACAATTTGTTAACTCAACATTGTAAATTTCAATAGAATTAATAAATTTTATAATATATTTTAATATATATGCGTTTAACATAAAATTATTCAATTTCTTAGATCTATACTATATTATAAATAGCTTGAGGAACGCGAGTAAATCACTAAAATTGTTAAAGCCCGCAGTATAATAAATAGCTTCCAATGTATAAGTATATACTGTAAGAATAAAAAATAACCTTTTTTTGTCATTCGACCTTGATCATTGGTGACTGATGAGTATAATTATTTTTATCGTCTCTGTATTTGTATACATTTTTATAATATACATCTATATACATAATATTATGTAAATTTATCTTTATTGTTATTAACAAATATATTCAAATAATATACTTCGTTAAAAATTTTCTTAAACATAAACACATATTATTATAGTACCCGTATTTGGTAATGATACGATCTATACAATGTACGCTTCTACTCTATAACGGTAACCTTAACCGGATTAAGATAGTTAACAAAGATGTTTTTGATCAATTTTTAACATTTTAATTAGTGTAGCTAATCCAGTAGGTATTTCATTTTGTACTATAATGTTACTAACCAATAATTAAAGATCACGCGATTTAATTAACTCAAAAATCATTTTTAAATTAATTATTTTAAGTTCTTGCTTGATTTAATATACAAAAATACATATTTTATTATAAAGCAAATTAATTTATTAAAATTGAAAATCAAAAAAAAAACTATTAAATTTTACTTTTATAAATTACATTTTATAGTGCATTTTTATAGTCATAATAACAAATAATAATATTTGTAATAATACATGTATTTTATTTATTATATTATTATATTATATAAATTCATTAAATGTTGTTTTTACAATTTTTATATAGTACTATAAATAATACAGAATTAATGGCCAATGCGTTATCTAAAAATGATGTAACAATAAATAATAATATCATAAAAATGTCCAGTCAAGACAACACGCCCATTCTTTTTATCAAGGAGTTTTATATAGGCAATTTTAATGAAAATTAATGATTACCTAATAAATTTTTTTATAAAGGTAAATGAACATAATGTTGCATTTATTTTTGTTGGCAAAGTATAGACGGCTTTGCTTTTAACGCCACGTATAAAATTATTGTATTATATTTCGCGTGAAAATTTTTTACCTCGAATATTCGAGTAATTATTATACTTGTATAAATAAATTATTTGCAGTTATTACTAATTTCCCACACAAAACATTTTTTCCGTACATTTTTATAATTACACAACAATAAAGTTAGTAGTACTCGTAAGATCATACATACGTTATTATAAAATAATGAAAATACTTAAATATGATTAAATTGTTACATTTTTATTTTATTTTAATATTTTGTTAAAATTGCCTATTAAATTGCCTATCTATTATCTATTACACAAACTTACGATATCAGTTCAAAGCGTTCATCTTATAAGTTCAGACTTATTAACGGCATGCGTTTTCTAATTTTTTTTTTTTTTTTGCTTTTAAGATTTTTTAATTGATTTTAGTGTTAACAAGAAATTTTTTAATTTTTATCCATTCCAAACAGGCGTAATGCATTTCGTTCGACAACTAAATAATATCACAAGAGACTCAGGCAAGTCGGTTAAGCTTAATTGCGAAGTGACCGGTGAGCCACCTCCACTGAGAATCCAATGGTACATGAACGAGGTGCCGGTCGGAGGATCAGAAGGTATTGGGGTTGGTGGTGGTGGTGGTGACGGCGAGAATGGTGAGAAAAAATCTAAGCCCCGGCTGACGGTGAAGCGGTTCCAGTCTAGACACAAGAACGGACTCGGTTCTCGGCTGCGGATCAACAAGCTGGAGGTACACGACAAAGGATTTTTCACATGCGAGGCCACAAATGGCATCGAAAAAATACAGTCCACCGCAATACTCATTGTCAAAGTCAACCGTTTTAGTGAGTTCCAAAATAATGTATTATATATTATGTTTATATATTTTCATTTATGTATGTTAGTAAAGATTGGTGCAAATCTGATAGGAGAGAGTTAATAACCCAGTTTTAAATTCAAATAATATATTTATATAATATAACTCTTTATAAAAAACAATATTTATATAAATCAAAATTATATTTTAAATAATTTAAAGTGTGGGTAGATACATGTAGGTATATTGAGTATAGCAAGTATGTAAACTTAAGTTTTATCACCACTTATTTTATAAATATTTTATACCCCACTACTTGTTATAAACTTCAAAACTCTTATTCGATGGAATTATTAATATTTCTCACAACACTCATGAAAGAGTGCTATATATTATACGAGCAAATATATAGAAAAGGGGAAATTTGGGTGCTCAACCACGTTTCTTCTCAAAAATATAAGTTGTTAAAATATATAATTTGCTTACTTATATTATTTCATAAAGTCTTATTTAAAATAAATATAGATAATGAATTATAATTTATAACACCCCATCGTTTTATTTCTTATATCTATATATATGTATATATACGTGTTAAATAAACTATTAATATAAATATATATAATATAACTGTTCACACATTCTATATTGATAAAGATTATGAAACCAACCAAATTTATTGATTTATATTTAGTATATTCAAGTATAATGTATATTTATGGTTAGGTATATACAATCGAACGAATAAATCTACAATATATTCAATGAGGCCTTTTAGTTGTTATTTTTTTCTAGAACTGTTAAAATATAATATTATAATATACTAAAAACATTAAACATTAAAATAAATTTCAAACAATTTAATAACCGCGAGGATTCTACTGTCTAGTATCTTCCCCGCATAATCGTTTAAGACGATACTATTTTGTTCTATTCATTAGAACAGTAGAACATATTATGCCAATTTTAAAATGGACATTCAGTTTGAAATTTGAATCGATGAAACTTTTGGCACCCACTGCAGATTATGCACAAATAAACAACCATATCAAATTATTATTTAATATTATTATTTTTTATATTATTGCCAACGTTTGTAATATATTTTTTTACGCATAATATTTATATTATGTTTTTTACAACGCATGGAGTTAATTTTATAATACCTCTACATGTACAAATGTAATGTACCATTTTTAGAACTTGAATTATTCAAAAGTTATACTATGTATATATTTTGATAGAGTATAGTTATAATATTATACCATTCCGATTAATTAACGAATTTAAATTGTTATGCGGAATAATCACATGAGTGAACTTGCACAAAAGTAATATAGTTTTTGGAACTGTGGAATAATCTACTATGTAGTTAGTTGTATTACTCGAAAAATTATGTAAGGCATTATTTACAATTTAGAAAAACAACCGAAACTACAGTAATATGTATTTGTTGTAGAAAACAAAACGAATAAAAACGATTAGTTAAAAAATAAGATGTAAAAAATACATTTGTCACTGCAGCTTATTCCAATTTACATAGTATTATTAATGTCATTTGTATTTTCTTATAGTTACACTTTAAATAATATTATGTAATACCAAGGTTTCCAACCTTTTGTGACTCGCGGCACTGTATGGTATTAAATATTGCCTTCTAGACAGTAAATGTATTTTAATTATACATCATTAGAAGAGATCTCTATAATAAATATATTGTATTATATCAAAGACTAAACTAATACTATAAATTATAATGAATTGTTAGACTCTTAGTAGTAGATAAATATTTTATAAAAATAAAGATAAGATATATTTTACCCAAGTAATAAGTATTTAATTTTATCATAAAAGGTGGTGAATTGATAGTTTTATAATGGTTCTTGTTGAGTGCGTTAAGGTGATATCAATTTCTACCCAGTATTGTACTTAAAATAGATCGAACATTAATTTATATTTGAATGCTTTATATCATATAATTTCATGGCACCTCCCCTATTTTAAATTCAATAAGACACCCTGATCGGGAATTTCTGATGTGATTTAATACAGCTATATTCAAAACATTCATACATTTATATTTTTTAAATATTTTTAGATTACTTTTGTAAGAATATGTTGAAAAAAATACCCCTTTATAATATATACGAAGTATTGAACGAAACATTTGGTATAGTAAATAAAAGACGGCTCACTTAAAATATCTACTCATTTACCTTAATCCTAAGTAAAGCCTGTTGATTCATTTATGACTATATGATTGCATACCTATAATTAATCGTGCGACAGTTGGTTTTAGATTTAAATGATGGTATAATAAAATTGTTCTTTTAACTGCTTCCCTATTATAGAATATTGAAATTAGGTACTCTATAATAAAACGACGCTATTTCGAAAACTCGTAATCACATTATATTAACTGCAAGAGCTCAATAGTATATGCATTGATGATTATACACTAGTCTTTATTATATAGTATAAGATATAAAACGCCGCAATCATATAAAATTATCAAGTAGGTATCCTTGATAGTTGACATATTTATTTAAAAGTTGTATTTTACATATTATTCGTTTTTAATATTACCTACCTATTCATAATCTGTTGACATACCTATATTTGTAACAAAAAGGTAATTACGATATCTCAGTACCGAGTATAATTTACACTTATAGTAAAGCTGTCATTTGTGCGCCGTGTAAATCGGGCATCTCAAAACAAGGCAAACTCGATGAATAAATTCAAGCTCAATGTTTTAATTTATGTGTATCGTTTTTTACCAATAAATTTTCCATGTATTTTCAGGGTGAATTCAACGTATTCAACGTTTGTCTATTCGATAACCCAACTCGACCACGAGTATAAGTAATTATTATCGTCGGCCGTCGCTAATTGCAGATAAGGTCATTAATCGGAACAACTTGCTCACTGAATCTATAGTTCGATACGTTCTAACATTACAGGGTTAAGGATGAAACTAAACCGCATAGAAATTATATACACGAATGTATACATAAAATACTCTCCTCCATAGCAGTAATAAATTACTAATATATTTATATGTATGTGTATAAATTTACCTACAATTTGCTATGATATCATGTTAGAGGACTATAATATGGCTGTGGGTGAGTTGCGGCCCGAGTAATTATCATTACCCAAGTTTGATATATATAGCGATAAACAAATAACGAAAAATAAAATAAATGAAATGTTCGATACGTATGGGAAGTTATATTTTTATATAATATGGTATCTCAGACTTTTAAAAATAAATGTAGAGCAGTTACCCGTGCGACCTTTACTTTCGAACAAGTCTGTCTTTACGTTGTTGCCGCAGACTTGGCTTCGTTACTTTTGTCACACCAAATATATACGATCGCGTTAAAACCATCAAAGTTCTGATCGATTTCTTGTGCTGTACGATCGTACTGGTCCTCAAGTCGTAGAAGCCTCGTGACTAAACATATATTTATACGTGTTTTTATTACACTTCTAATTTGATTTTATTATGAGTAAATAAATGTATATAGTATATATTATGTTATGTATATATGTAATATATACATTAATGTATGGCCGCAATTCGTATGTACTTCTCATAAACCCGGGCCGCAACTTGTACGTTATTATTTAGGGTTAGGTTAGGGCTAAGGCCACAACTCACTTACACCGAAATATAGAAGAGAGTACCATAGGTATGCCTTATACAACTGTAGTTTGCACTATAGAACTTATAAATTATTATATACTAGGTAAATTATATATGAATTGAAACGATCCTTCCATACAATAATTTCAATTATTTTAGTATAATATTAATCCTCTTTTCCGAATTCAATTTATTATATCTTTTATGTTGAGTTATTTTGCAACTTATAAGTGTATTAGCTGGTTGGAAGCATAAGTGATAAGTATATTCTTGGCCCCGTGCAGCAGTGTTCATTAATTATTTCTGTTTATATGAGTCCTGCATATTATTTAGGTACTTAATATATTATTATATTATAGTTGTAGAGAGAAAATTAACTGTAACTTTAAAACTTAAAATTGTAATATACTTATTAATATTTAGTAGACCCACACATATTTTAAGTATTGTTCACTACATTTAAATATTACTACCTATACATATGTAAATTAAATCCATTTTATTTTATAGGCCATGATGAATCCAGTATTGACATGCCTCATTTTGGGTTTTCAAACCAGTATCCGGTAGTACTAGAAGGGTAAGTGATATTATCGTGTCTAAACTAACTAGGTCCAAAAGACTCTTATTATCTCTTAATGAGAAAGTTTCTCTGCTTCGAAAAAACCAATGGCATAATTAAAAGTTTAAGATTTAAGATTTTTAATACATATATGTACAAAATGTAAAATAGTAACAAATAAATAAATAAAATACATTTTATTATATATAATATACTAATGTAACTATATTAGTTATCAAATATGATTTATATTTCTGTAAACAAATTTGGGCGTATCCATTTAAAAATTAAAAATTAAAAAAATATTTTTAAATTATAATATTAGTTTTTAGTTAGTGTAACGTACGTATTGTGTCGATTATACGTGAATAATAGTACGATACATTTTTCACACGTCTTGGTGGTGGTAATATAAGGCCAATACTATTTCGTTTAAATATTATTTTATTCATTAAGAACATTTCTATGTATTTACATAATTCTGATTGATATATACATGGTGGTTTATTGTTAGTAAGCGTGCATGAAAGAGTAGCCTGAAGTCTACCTAATACATACTGTACCCACCATTTGAAATTTAAATTTACCGCCGTTCGGTCTGATAAAATCATACCAAAGATGTTGTAAACACCATACGTGACCAATATGGAACTAGTACGAGATCAACGATTATAATAATATACATCAGCGCATGCGCATCAATTCGTATACAATTAGTATCAGTTTTGATCTTAAAATGCTTAGATTAGTGAATTACAGAAATAATACGATGTTGTTAAAATCGAAAGTACTAAAACTTTATACTTATTTACTTTAACTTCTTTAAGTCTAAACTTTCTTTTGTCAACAATCTGATAGTTATTTTATCTATATTAATATTCATCATTCAACAGTTATTAATATAAATATTATTAAAATATTCATGATAATGATTATGTCTGTAGACATATTTTCTGCTAATTGTCATTTGTTTACTTAATAAGTGTATTCATAGATTAGTTTAAACATTACTTGGTTATTTTAAACTAGCTATTGTGAAAATGCTTAACTTGATTTTTATACTTTTAACAACTATTTTAGCATGTTGTGCTGAAAACCGTATCAAAAAGTATTTACACATTAATTGAACACTTTTAGTTACTTTGGTTTGATTTAAATTATTGTTTTTAGGGAAACCAAAATCAACTCGCACGTTGGAATTAATGAACAGCAAAGTCCACTTGATACTATTCCAGAGCTAAGTCAAGTTTTAACTTACCCAATATGTCAAGTAAGTATTCATTATTTCATTTATCTAATTGTTTGTGTTTCTCTGTCTTTTAACTGTTGATATTTATTTAAGAATCTATTTAAAGCATATTATAAATATCCTTTAATAATACCTATAGTAAGTTCAAGTATTTATTTCAACTAAATAATGATACCACTGGTTATGATCATGTAGACCCATGAAGCTTATTTAACAATGTTTTTTTAAATATTATATTAAATGTTTATATTGATTGTATTTACATGAATGTACTTATAATAATAACATACTTTAGTATTTATAATATTTAAATACAGAATTATAAATAAATGAACTTAAATTAAATAATAATTATAGTTTTAGACTGTTATTACAATTACCAAGTTTTTTATTTCTAAATACAATATTAGCCTCTAGATCTCAGGCTATAGGCTATTGATTGACATTAATTGATTGAAATTGAATTAACATTGATAACTAAATGCCAAATTGTGTCATCTACTTTGTTATTAAATGCTCTACAGTTTAATCAGCATTAAAATTAAATTATAGGTTTTTTGTTAGTGTCTTCTACCAGTATTATTTGATTACTACAAGTTATTCATTGCTATTTTAATTTTTCAATTTTTTTTTTTTTTAACTTCAAATTGTTTAACACCTCAAAATAATGTACAACTAATGTGTTAAAATTAATAAATATACAAGATAATGTATTATTTTAATAAAATATATTCTAATCACAATAAGTTTTATTGTGATTTATAAAATGACATCAGACTTTAAGATAGTTACTTTAGATAAATAAAAATACTGAATATTATTAGCTATTTTTATGTATTTATATTTTTTTTAAGAGTGAAATTAGTTTTATCAAAATTCTATTGTAAGATACTCAAATTAAATTACTAAAGTTTTGTATAAAAAAATAGATTAAATATATAAATTAGCTATGTTCATATCATTTCTTAATTTTTTACTTAATTACAAATTTAATTTATATTGAATTAATATTTCTCATTTATAAAATGTTAGCTTAGAAAAATATTAAATAAATTATTAAATTTTAAAATCTCTTGAAAATATAAATCTAATCTTTATTATTAAGCCTTACTGAAATTTGAGTGGAGTTCCAAATATTTTTGATTAGCAGTTATATTTTTTGGCATTTATTTATTCAAAACTCAAGTTTCATAATTACCTGTGACTCTATAATGATATCTTCTTACGTTCTTAAGTATTTCTTAAAAAACACTGCCATTTGAATAAGTATGGTCCTAATTTTAAAATAGTAATTTTGTTGTCAAAAGTGGTGAACATTTATTGGATGTAAAAATAAAACATTTTCTAGGGTGACTAAAACATAATAGATGTATTATATATTAATTTCGTATTTAAGGAATATAACACATTTTTCATCGATTTAAAAAAAAAAAACAAAATAATTTTTTGGAATACTTGTATAATTATATACAATGTAAATTAAAAATTCTCTTTTCATTGAAAAATCTTGAATAATATTATGTAAAAAATAATTTTTATTTAGCCATAAATTAGGAATCAATTTTTAACTACTCTAATAATTAAAATAATAAAAAATTTACAGTCAAAATTTAAAAGCATGTATTCAATTCAAGATTTTATAAAATATTTTTTTTAATAAATATAAACTCAAACCACATTAGAATAAATGTGTCTTTTGAAGAACATAGATTATGTGGAAAAATAATTTGCATCCTACCATAACTGAATATAATTGTTTGTATATCTATTTTCTCTTTCGGTTGTGAAGAAAAACAAGTGTTTAGTTACTTAAGTACCTATGAGTTTTACCATTTTTATAAAACAAATGTTTAAAATTTTACATAATTTATTAAAGTAAAAATACCATTAAAAAAACACTAAATGTCATTGAAAATTAAAAACATTATGTAAATTATTATTAAATTAAATGAATCTATTATATTCTTTGTAATAAAAACACCTGAATAAGTTTAAACATTTGTTTTTTTCTCTTTCTAGTTACTAATTTTTGCTAATTGTACATAACAATTATGAAATCTACATTATAAAATAAATATATTTTTCTATCTTAGTATAGTACATTTTTGAATTTGTTTCTAAATTTGTGGTTTCTTCAAAATGTTGAAAATAAATTTAGTGTATACTCTAATATTTTACTTAATGTTTACTACTAATAATGTTTTATGCGACCATTTTATTGATAATTTAAAAAATGATGACCCATTTTGGATTAATCCATGTGGCTACTACACAAAAAATTCTGAAGACGCTGATGATTCTGATGCTGCTATCATGGACCGTATAATCACTTTAGCAACTCAATGTCAAAAAAGTATTAATCACTTTAAACATGAATACATTCAACAAACATTCAAGACTAATTATGATACACATTATAATAGATGGATAGATGAAAATAATAGTTGGATAACTTCCCGACTTTTAAATAAATCTGAAGATACTATGACACAATCATCATTGAATTCACGCTCATTTCCCAGTGAATTAAAATATAGCTATGAAGTATTACAACGTGTTTCTGTTGGTTTTGAAATGTTGCTTGATGATGCAAGTAAAGATGATTCTTTGGAAAATAATTTTTTTAGTGATTTTACTGCTTGTAAAAATGATTTGCAGCAACTTTTATGTGAGATCAGTGATGACATTGACTCTACTTATCAAAATAAACCAAATGATATTACTAGAGATGAAATCCCTAAAGAAGTTCGACAAGAAACCAGCACTGCTAAAAGAAATATCACAAACTCTATTATTTTTCGTGATTATATGATTAGTATTAAATATATAAAAAATACTTATGATTATTTAATAAACAAAAGTAATAATAATGTAAAAAAATTGTATCATAAATATAAACCTTTTTATTATTAATATTTATTTTTATTATTTTTACTCTCTGTACTTAGTATTTCATACTAAAATATTCTATAATATTATGACCTTTAAATGCTTTTTTTATTATTAATCCCTAGTAATAAATACATTATAAATATTAAAATCTAAATATAATTTTAAGAAAGATTCATAATTGTATATTATAGTGTGTTACAATAAAAATAATTTAAATTTAAATTATATCAGTTGATTAAAAAATAGAACTAATAAATATATATTTTATTATTTAATATGTATACTTACATAATATTCATAAATAATTCAACCATTAATAATTTTAATTTCATTTTTGGAAAGTTTATTTTGTGTTTGAATAGTAATATAAATTTAATTTTAAATAAAATAAACAACAGAAAATATAATGGTCAAAATATGTAATTCTGTTATCAAAATCTATTAACAATATTTTACAATATTATTAAGCAGTCGTTGATCTTACTTAATAGTTAATTGTTATAAATATAAAGAAAATCTGTACCTAAATATCAATATGAGTCAGAATTTATAAATCTGGAATGCAAGTTATCATTTTCATATGAATTTTTATTGTTAGTCGTTGCATTTTATGTTAAGTTTGTGTTTTAATTTGAAAATATATCTGAACTAACATATTAATTTTGGAATTCTAAATTTATTACCTAGTTAATAGTTAAATATATTTTTATTTTAGATGTACCAAGGTTCACATTGTTCAAAATACCTACAAGGTCAAAATGTTTATATACCTGCCAATTCTTCACAGGCAAGCATTGAAGGAAACCTAAGTTCAGCTTTTAAAGTGATTACACGATCTACTGATATGACAGCTGGTTGTGCAAAATATGCTCTCCCTTCTATTTGTCATACTGCATATCCATTATGTAGAAAAGATAAGACTATTCCTAAACCGTTGCTTGTGTGCCAAGAGGTTTGTTTTTCAAATTCATTAATAGTTTTTTATATTATTTAGACAATTTTTTTTATAGGACTGTGAACTATTAGAAAATGATATTTGTAGTCAAGAGCATGCAATTGCCAAAAAACATCATTTACTTGGACGTGTTGTTAATTTACCTAATTGTTCTTCTTTACCAAAAACTGATTGTTTTGAACTTGGTATTGAGAAACCAGAAGTCAATGAAGGTAGTAAAATAACCAATACACAGTAAATTATTATCAATTGGCATATTATAAAAATTAATTTTTGTTTTTCAGATGAAAAATGTTATTGGGGACTAGGTGTTTCATATCGAGGTACAATATCATCATATCAAAATCTATCATGTGTACGTTGGAGTCAGCAGTTAATTGTAAAAACATCTGATTATAAAGAACTACAAGGAGGTCATCGTTTCTGTCGGAATCCAGGATCTGAAGAAAATGAACCTTGGTGTGTTGTTGAAATGCCAGGCACAGGGCAAATGAAAAAAGTGATTTGTGATGTTCCACATTGCAGTGAGTTATTTGATGAAAGAAAATAACTAAGAATTTTATTTAAAATTGTCATATTATGTTTAGTGAGAACTCTACAATTACCGATTTTTATTGTAAGCACAATCAGTATTTCTTTATTTATTGTATTGGTGGTAATGGTAATTTGCTGTATTCGAAGAAAAAGTAAGCGGCAGAATTCAGCAATACGCCGTAGACTGCCACCTTATACAAATCAAAAAGTAATAAAATTAATAAAATATATTCATGCCGACATAATTACATATTTTTAATATTTATTTATAGCAAGACATTGTAAAAGGTAAAACTAATGGTCTAGAATTATCATCACTAATACCAGGCTCAAGTGCTTCAAGTCAAAAATCAGATAAATACTGTAAAGTAAGACAATATGCTTTGGGTGAAATCACATTCTTACAAGAAATTGGTGAAGGTGCTTTTGGTATGTATTTTCATCAAAAATATATATTGTTATGAATTAAATATGAATTTACATTTATAATATATTTGAATAGGTAAAGTTTTCAAAGGTCAAGTGCCTAATGATATGGGGACCATAATTATGGTAGCCATCAAGACATTGAAAGAAGGTGCAAGTGCCAAAACAGCAGCAGATTTCAAACGTGAAACTGATTTAATGGGAGAATTACGACATCCAAACGTGGTTTGCTTAGTTGGCATGTGTGCACGTCCAGCATGTTTATTGTTTGAATACATGGTCGGTGGTGACTTACATGAATTTCTAATGGCGCGCTCTCCACATTCACCAAATTCCCCAATAGCACCACCACTTAATCAGGCAGACTTTATGTATATTGCTACTCAGATAGCTTCTGGTTAGTGTTATTATCTTTATTATCTATAGTTTTACTCTGTCCAGTGAGAAAATACGCTGTGGCTCATCAAAATAAAATCAGTTCTCTTGTACCAGCCCCACATAACATGCTGCCATTGGCACTATTTCTATAGTCCATATTAACTCAATTTTCCCCATTATATTATGGCAAAAGATATAGACAATTACAGAAATTGTGTATCGCCTAACAACATTTGAGTTAAGTGACCAGTATATTCTTACTTGGAATGCACTTACTATTGAAGGGTGTTGCATGTGGCGTATAGAGTTTATATGTTCTCTAGCTGGATAGAGTATAATACCATTTATTTTGGTGAATTCATTTAATTAATATTTATATTATTAATAGGTATGGAATATTTATGTAGCCATCATTATGTGCACAGAGATTTAGCTGCTAGAAATTGTTTAGTAGCTGAAAATCTTACAGTAAAAATATCAGATTTTGGTCTTTCAAGGGATATTTACTCATCTGATTATTACAGGTTTGATATATATATATATATATATTTATAAGTTTTATTTATAATACATTTCAAATAAAGCTATATTATTTTTAATTAAAATAAAATTTTTAATATTTTATACTAATTAACCATAAATTTAAATTATAAAATTAAGTTTTCTTCTTTGTGATTAATCATATTTTAATTATTTGACTACTCAAAATATATATGCATTATGTAATAAATATTAGTAATTAATAAATCTTGTTTAGAATATAAATTAAAATTAAATTCCTATTAAATGTATTTTTTGAAATTCAAGAGTATCAGTTTTACCCTACTATTTAATCTCAAACAATTATTTTATTATTTTTATTTTAAAATTCCAGAGTACAATCAAAATCATTGTTACCTGTGAGATGGATGCCACCTGAATCTATTCTATACGGTAAATTTACAACTGAATCTGATGTTTGGAGTTTTGGCGTTGTATTATGGGAAGTTTACAGCTATGGTTTACAAGTAAATATAGCCATCTTTATTAAAAACTATTCCTATTATTAACACTATGATGTTATTGTGTTCTTTAGCCATATTATGGATATAGCAATCAAGAAGTAATTGAAATGATTCGCTCGCGTCAACTCCTTCCATGCCCCCAAGAATGTCCATCAAGAATGTACTCACTAATGATGGAGTGTTGGCATGAGGCACCTGTCCGGCGACCTAATTTCACAGAAATACACTCTCGACTCAGACAATGGGCAGCCATGTCTGTATCAACAGCACCCACCATGACATACTCTATGGTGCGCCCTGGAAGTCAATCTGATCGCACAGGTTCGTCAAATGTGTCATCCACTTGTAGACCAGTCAACATATAAGTCACTAAAATCTATTCTCATGTAGAAATCCCTTTTTGTTCATAAAAAATATCAAATGCTTATAACTAGTTACCTTCATCCTAAATACATTTCTTTTTATAATTAACACAGCATACATATATTATATAAACTAAAAAAACTTGTTATTTGTTAATTAGAATAATATACAAACAATAAAATAATATTATTTCATACTTAATCGTTAGACAACAGAGCTTCGTATTCATCAAATCAATTTCATCTAAAAAAAAAAATACAAATTTAGTTTGTGATAGAAGTTATTTATTCATTATATATTATTATTTATAAATAATATATATTTTTTTTTCTTATTAAAATTTCATTTAATGTTGGATTAATTTAAATTTGATTATATTAAAGGAGATATTTGTTTTATAAATTGCATTTAACCATTAACATTTTTTGTAAAAATTAAATTTATTATTATAATTTATAAATCTATGAAAAATGTACTTACATTTTTTGTCAAGAGTATGGAGTCAAAATTAATCACCGTGTATTTTAATGATTGTTAATAACAATTAAAAATTATCATTCATCATTCTAAGAGCAATATTCATAACACTTTTTATAGAAGTGTAAACAGTAAACATATTTTAATAGCTCTAACTTCAAATACCAACTACAATGTGACAAAATGATTGCTTTAAACTATTTATAAGACATTGCATTACGAATTGCGTTTAAATATCGAAAGTCCACTGTATTAACTATGGCACTCGCTTACATTACAGGTGTTGCTCGTGTTCAATATTAAAACAATTATTTGATCATATTCTTCTATCACATCACAAGAATTCATAATTAACCGTCTTCCACATGTCAAGTTTTATTCGTGCCATACATTTTACGTTTGTTCAAACTAAATTTTCTTGTGCGTACTCCATCTGCCGTGTTCAAATTCATTCATGTATGGAAATAGGAAACGTTGTGCTTTTAAGTCACAAGTGAGAACACAGGTGTATGATTGAATTCTTAAAAATCATAATATTGTTATTCGGTTGTGTTAATTTTGTTAGAGTTGTGACGTCGTCGAGATAGTAGTCGTCTTGTACCTATTAATAACCTACTACTTTAATTATTATTACTTATCATGTGTACATAATATGTGTTTTTGTTGTACATACACAAATAATGTATTAAATTATTTATTATTTAATTATTACCTATGTATTATTTTGTATGTTTTAACTAATAGTTATTAGTATATAATTTTGTTTACTTGGTAATATTATAATTCTTTAAGGATTAATTACATTTTTCTATTATAATATTATGTATAACTATGTTTACTTAAAATCAAATGTCTTAAGAGTAATGTGTAAATTGTTTTTTTTTTTTTTTGATTTTTTTATACTCATGTTGTAATGACACACTCTAGTCTACTTAATGTTTTAGTATGTAAACATAACTTAAAATATAAAGACTGTTGAAATGTTTTCAAAGAAACCGCCATTGTACTTGCGTTTTCATTTGTATATTACATAATAATATACATTCAAATAAAAGTGTTTCAATTATTAAGAATATATTAATGTATTACCTGAATTATATTCCATGTTTCACAAAAGAAACTAATCCTAAAATCAGTAAAATCTTACAGAAATTATAACTAACTATTTACTTATCATTTTTAGACTTAATAAGCTACTTTTTATAAGTCTACAGTTTTAATTTGTTTATTTAATTTGTTTTGCTTTTATGTATAACATAATATTCAAAAAAACTATGAAAAATATGTTCAAACAAAAAGTCAATGGTTATGACAAATTATAAAGTATTCGTATTCCACAATGCCATTAAGTTCATAGTATTTACAAATGTTTTACTATAGTTCATACTATTATTCATATATTTGACTTAATTAGATGTTTATTTACCACGTGTTAATCATTTCTATGATGCTCAGCAAATTTGTGTACTTTGGTTCTCTTTGTACTTTTAGCCTATTCATGTTAATCTGGTTCTTGCGAATTTCATATATTATGTGGTAAACAACTAGATGAACATTTTTCTACAAAAACACTTCTACACGTGTGATTTTAGGCGGGACACTTCTCGGCCAATTCCTACACTACTTTTATCACCAATGAAGTATTCTTCACGTTTTTTTTTTCTGTTGAACTACAAATTTATATAATAATTATATAATATTATTATGAGAAAACTTTTAAATGTTATCCGTGATTTTTCTTACAAATGTTCACTATCCGTGGATTGAAGAATGGCTATTATATTCCCCTTATTTTTCGTTTATTACCAGACAAGTCAGTTGAAATTTGAAACATACACAATTTACGTTTCGCTGTATTGTTAATAAAATAAATATTTAATTGTTTTTCCAAAATTTGTGACAGATAATTTTGAAATATCAGTGCATGAAGCAATCGTAGAAATATGGCCAGACTCAAAAATTATTGGCTGTAGATTTCATCTAACTCAATTTTGGTTTCGACAAATCCACAGCTTGAAATTGGTTTGTAAATAACGAATTTTCGGGTACCGAAAATTGAATAAAATATATGTTTGGATATTATTTTTGAACCCAAGAGATGTAGGTATATGATTGTTTTGTCGAAGATTTAATGTCAATAATATGTTCTGATGATAATAAATTAAAATCATACTGCTGTGATAATTTAACAAGACACTTATTTAAGTGAAGAAAGCATAATTTCTCTTACTATTTGGGCATCATCAGGCTCTTCTGACTTAACTAGAACCACAAATGCACGCGAGTCTTGTCGTTCATATTTTAACCTATGTTTTTAGTTTTTACAAAGACTCGCCTCCAATTATGTAGTATGTATTGGTTAAATATAATAAATAAAATTCAAATATAATCATAAAATTTAAAAATACGAAGCGCAGATATTCCATACATAATTCCTAATAGATGGTAAAGCTCGGAGTTGTCTGGATAAAAACCTAAGTACCAACACAATAAAATATGAGAGAGGAGAAATAACACGAATGGAATTTATTAAACATAATATGATGTATAATATTATTTAAAAAAAAAAATTAAATGGTACCTATCCCTATAATTTTATAGTTATTGCGTAAATTAATGATATACCTACCTAATGTATCTTTTATTTTTATATTTTTTACTAAATTCAATGTATTAAATGTAAATTAATTAAATTGTATGATTTTTAAAAAATTGGTAGTTAAACAGAACAACCGTGAAGAATATTTCATTGATGACCATAATAGTGTACCGGCCGAAAAGGGAAAGGATAAAGCCGTTAAAGATTCATTTTAACCGAAAATGATGCCGCCTGTAATTTTAGTAAACCAATCCCGTGGCACTTTTAAGATCACAGCACGTGTTCGTCGGGTTCGTATAGATAGATATAAATACAGAAATTTGTTAGTACCTACTCAAGTTAGAATTATTTCCTATTATTACAATGACAATTTTGACTGTCAATAATTTAGTTTACAAATTACAACTATTGTACACTTATCTTGTGGCCTGGTGAGACGCAGTGATTGGTCTCAATTTCTAATGTGTTCCGAGATCAAGCATCAGCCGACGTCTTTCTAGCTCTCGGATGAGTGACCACCAAGATTCTTACTTCCTAGTGACGAGAATCGATGGCGCACACACATACAACATACGTGTTCCAACGCTATAAAACAATCTTTACAAATAAACCCTACGCAAAAACACTATAGCTAATGACATAATAGTTTCCGACCTTTTAATTAGGACCAAAAAAGAAATACAAATTTTTCGACAATATGTATATTAGTTCGAGTCAACAAAACTGGTAGAATGCTTAACCCAGTGTGCGCCGAACTACTGTGCCGCTTGTAAAGCAAAAAAACATTTTTTCGCCTTTTTTGGTAGGTATATGAATAAATTATATTATTTTATACTTTGATAAGAACTTTGGTTATTTTTGAAATCATCAAATTATGATATATTATTGAAATTACAAAAATTAGGTATATTGGTTAAAGGTACGTGTTATTCACATTTTTCTCAAATATTACAAAGTATAAATATGAATTAAAAACAAAGTATTAATACATAATCCATTTATTAAAATATATATAACGGTTGAGACTCGTTTGCGCATATAGGTACCAATAGATTTTATAAATTTGCGACAATTCGTTTGCGCACAAAATTGTGAACAATGGAAACCTATTTGTAGGTACAGTTTTGGGCGTACAGGGCGGAGTTGGTAAATTGCGTCCCGCAAAAAAGGTCATAGTTATATACTGTGTAAATTGCGACCCGAGTATATTTTATACATACGTAAATTGCGGCCCGGGATATTCCGATTTCCGGTCGGTTAGGTTACTGATAAAGAATCATTTATACATGACAAAATGTATGAATTGCAAGCAAAAAATATTACTCAGTTAGACTATGTGCGGGAATTATAAGTTTTTACCAGTATATTAATTTGAATTTTTATAATAGGTACTATTTTTTTCACTATACACATTTTTACTTATTTTTAATAATATATTTTTTAATTATAAACAAAACAGCAAAACCAATATTTTTAACCATACCAATATGAATACAATTATATTGCCAGTCCTAAGTCTGAAAAATGGGAAGGAAAATATTGATTTTGTAATTTACATAACAATGACAAATATTTAAGTAGGCAAATATATTAAAATATACCGGGGCCGCAATTTACGTATGTATAAAATATACCCGGGCCGCAATTTACATAAAAAATTTAAAACGGGACGCAATTTACAGCGACCCGTACAGGGCATCTTAAAGAATAACTGTATAGCGATTATTTTGAATCGTGGTTTCTCCATTAGTTGTCATTTATCAGAAATAATAATTTATAGGTACGTTATAGTAATTGCGATTACTGTGCTCGCTAAGTATACGAGTCGCGCGAGACAAGCTTTAATCTTTATTGCTTTATTTATAATCTAAAACTTCAAATATTAATATATATTCAAGTCGATACTGATTTAAAAATTAATTCAATAAAAAAAAAAAATAATAAAGAAAAAACCCGTAAAAACAAAATCATATGAAAAAAATATAGGTACTCTGATTACCTATATTTAATGCAAACGCCAACCAATATACAATAAATATTAACTCAAACAGCATTTTTAAACCCATCAGTATGGCAGTATATGATACCAGAAAATGATTAAACAGTAAGTCTTAAGATTTATAAAAGGCGAAGGAAAATGTTGTACAGTATAATAATTTTCCACCATCACTAATGACCAGTGCTGTGAATTTAATGCATTTGCATGTTTTTTTTTTTATTTTTTAGTGTAAATTTTGCCTGTTTTTAATGAAAAAATACATGCATAAATTTAACGCTTTTTAGTGCATTGAATGCACAGCCTTGCTAATGACCGATTCGAAAATTTGGAGATACGTACGCAGATTATGTACACCTTACGTGAGTAAATTTCTTTGAAAAAAGGTTTCTATTGTTCGCAAATTGTGCGCAAATGAGTTGTAGCCGCGATAACTTGATCATTTTAAATTAATAATAATGTTTTGTAATATAGATAGGTAGGTAAGTAATAAACGTGAAAATTGGGTAAATACTTGTTTATTATATTTGTAATATATTTTGGTAGGTATTTGAAATTTAGCAGTTAAAAATCAAAAAATAATCTGTAAATTCAAATTTGAACTTACTCTATAATGGTCAATTTTGTGAAGAAAAAAAATTTTTGTATAAAAATAGTTTAAAAAAAAAGTAAGTTGTATAATTTATATGTATACCGAAATTATATTAAATTAAATTTTTTATTAAATATAAATCTAAAAAAAATAATTCAATAATTTCAAATGTCTATAAATAACATAAAAAGATAGGTATATGATAATGATTTTTTTAAATTGTTATCACATTAAGGAAATACTAATATTAATATATTGCTAGTCTCTCCGCAATTACACATTTTTGAATTCCAATTTTCTTAAACTTTTATATTATTTTAAAAAATAATAAGAATTACTAAATCCTAAAACAGATGGAAAATAACTGTGAAAATTGCTAGAGTTATAAATTATAACAAATAAGGCTATTTATAATTTACATACTAATGCACATCATTTTTCATTTAACAATGATGATTTTATTAATAGATGGTCAACCTAAAGAAGGCGGTAATTGCATACCTATATTAACTTTAACTTAAAGTATAAAAAGAAAAATAAAAAAAATTAGTTTTATAAACATCAAACAACTATATTTTAAAATAAACTGGTTTTATTTAACAGTATTCAATGCTTAGAAATGTATATCAGTTATTCACTTCAATAAACAATTCAATAACTATATGATTATATTTACATCTTAACATTAAAACAAATATTTACAATAAAACTAAAAATAAGTTGAGCTACAACATTAACAATCAGACTATGTGTTACAATAAATAATATAGATATGATAAAAAATAAATAACTTTACAAAAACTTATTGGTATGAAATCTAATATAAGTACAAATTACATATAATATATATATTATTAGATTCATTCAAAAATATAATTTATTAAGTTAATATTAAAATGTATACATTTCATTAAAAAATTTATTGTACATATATAGTAGAATAAATTGAAAAAATGATTTTTTTTTTAATTTTAATTTTAATTTTGTATAATTAATAATACTATACATGAACTAATATACCGATTTTTTTTTTTCAGAAAAAAATACAATTATAATTTCATTACATAACAGATTAAATATAATAATAATATTAACAATTATATATATTTAAAACATATGAACAATTCATTAAACATGTAAAAAAATGTATGAAATTTAAAATGAGGAGAAAGGGACTAAAGATTAATATTCACTGCTCTTAGATTTTGTACTTGGTACTTATTAAACTTGTAAGCTATAGTACTGCTTAAAATTCTTGGGTTTTCTTTATAAATTATAATTATTTTTTGATAATTGTTATATATCACTTATATACTAAATATAATCATTCAAAGAAGATCATTTTCAAGACCTATTCCATTAATCGAAAATAAAATGTTCACAAAAATTAAATAGTAACAGAACAATAAAATTAAAGCCATTTTTAATTTTTTAACCTAAAAAATAAAATAATTTAATTCATCAAAAATTATAATAGTTAATACAAAAATATATACATTTTATTTAGTTATACTTTTAAACAGTATAGTGATTTAATACCACTTTTCAATCAGTAGATTAATTACTCCAGTAATTCTCAAATAATTAGTAAAAAAATCATTTAAATATTAAAAAAAAAAAAAAAAAAAACAATAATTCATAATTACCCTATTACCTTATAACTTCATATTTCCAATATAGTAGAATAACAATAGATTATAATTTATTATAACTATTTTCCCACTAATTATACTAGTAAATTAAAAAAATATAGCTTATTAGTTATTTTTATATAAATATGAGAAATATGCGTACCATAAATTATATAAAAAAAATTGTAAGAATGCAAGGCAAAATTATTTTCAGATTATGTATAACATATTAGTAACTCTTAATTACTATTAAGTTCTAATCAGTATATAACAGTCAAATAATTTAAAGGCACCAGTTATAAATAAGTCTCAAATAATATTACTAATTATAGTTAGAAATATAATAATAATAATCATAGTTGTAGTTATTGTTAAAATAGTGTATAAGTAAAAAAAAAAAAATTAACAACTAACACTTTTTTATAGACTTATGCGTGTTCCACTGCTATAACTAAAGGTTGGGCTATGGTTTCCATAACTTCGTGTTCACTAATTGTTTGCAAATCAGATACAACAGTTACACAGTTCAACTAAAAATTAAAAATAATATGTTTTTCTAAGGAGTGATAAGTCAATAATGAATAATATATAGAACTGACCTGTTTTTTTTTCAATCTTCTGTGACCTGGACAACCTTTACTTGACCTCCATGGCAACTCCTTACCACCACAATTATTTTCCAAATAATTGAGAACCATTTGAATATTGTAAATATCAGAAATTAATTTATCTAAATTTTTGTTTTGACAATTCTTGTTATTCTTTTCATTTTCATGTAACTAAAATATGTAATTACATAAATATATTTAGGTTAAGAATAATCAAAATTATTGAGATGTTAATTAATTTTCAGACAATACTAAAACAACAATTGTATATTTGTTTAATAGTTAAAAATCATAACATTAAATACCTTAAAAGCTTCTTTTTGGGCATTTTTAAGATTTAAAACTGTACGGTTGTATGATCTGCCATAAGATAATCGAGTTTTTATTAGATCTAAAAATAAATTAATGTTATCTAAATCAAAAAAGTTTGTTTTTGACTAAAATAAAAACATACAAATATTTTTCTGATTGACTAATTGCTCAAGGCGATTATTTAAAAAATGTAACTCAGATAAACGTCTGCTGGTCTTATCATTTTCACAACCAAATTCATCTTCTCTACTTCTCCTTTGAATGTTAATTTGATTTCGAACGCTACAAAAATAAGAATTAAAATATTAATAGATATTTTTAAATGATTATATTCAAGTACAAACCTTTTAATTTTTGATAGTATTTTCATAAGTTCTAATGTGTTTTTCAATAGCAAATTCTCTTCATTTGATAACAATCCCGACTTCAAAACTCTTTCTACATGAATTTTAATTGATTTATTTTTGGTTCGTTTTCTGGTACTTCTGGAATGAATCTGCATGGTCCTTTCCATACTTCTCATATCATCAATTTGGCTATTGTATAACTGCAACAAAAATAATCAAATAAAAAAAAATTGTATTACTTACGAGATTTCTAAATTACCTCATTAACTACAGGAATTGAACTATCATAAAAATTATCATCAGAATATTCATCAAGTGGTTTAGTATGGAAATTGTTCTATAAAACAAAAATAAAATTGATTTAACATTTTAATTATAAATATATTTATTTTATTATATATTAGTAATCTTATTAAATTGTACCTTATCAACAGATAAACCATTGATAGATGAGTTGTTATAATGAATGTCCTCTTCTAAAATGAATTCAGTCAAGTTACAGCCACATGATTTTATCAAAGTTGAACATTTCTTCACTGTTCCTTCAACATCACTCGCATCAGTTTTTAGATATAATCCATCATCATTCAACGACCTGCTACCAGCATCAACACAAAACGCCATTCAGCTCCCTGTACATGTCAACTCAAATTTTTAAATAAACCAAAATCCCTAAGCTACTCTTTACCTTGTTGCCCCATTTGATGGAAGTACTATATTCAAAATAATGTTTATATTACCAATTCAATTTTAACATAACTTACCAAAATAAATTCTTCTTATTACATAGATTATTTTTATGAAAGTCATTTTCATTTTGATTGGTATTTGATTTGATTTCTAAAGACTTTTTGTTGAACATATTATATTCTGAATTATCATTATTTATTTTTGCTTCCCTATACAAAATTTAAATTACAATTATTAATAATTTAATTACTAAATAATCTCAGTAATATAATATTCTAAATTAAAAATTAATGAATAAACAAATTAAATATTTTACAATTCTTGATTCATCTGAGAAATGCATTTTTTATAAAGATTGATCAATGAAAATTATTTAATATTAATTTCATAATTATTATAATATAAATACACTTTATTAGTGATAGCTCATTTTCTAAATGAAGTGTACTAATATTCCCACTCTGTAAACATCGTGATAATTTTAAAACAAACAAAAAATAAAAATTTTAAATTTTGATTTCTCATATTTATTTTATACTATATATTTTATCTATTATAATAGATAAACAAGATTCATTATAACTGTACCGTAGATAATATTCATATAATATATACATTTCTTTATAAAAATCTATTTTAATTATAATTTCTCTGACAACCCCCATCGCATTGTCTCAAAAGGCAATAGTGCTATGATCTCTTAATTTAAATAAAATAAAATTAAGTCTAGGAGGGTTAAATCAATGGATTGTCTTCCTTATTAAATAAGTATGACTATATATATTTTTTCAAGGATAACAATGACAATACTACATAATGGCCAATAATGTCTTATAATAAAAATAGGTCTTAGGCACATTGTTGACTTGTGGGCAGCACTACTGTATACATCATCTATTTATTTAAATTATTCATTATAATATTATGGTTATCAATGATGCCAGTAGTATTTAACGATTTTAAATCCATGTTATTTCCAAATAATTTTTTTTAGGAGACCCCCCCCCCACTAAATGTCTAGTCACTGTCAAACTAATTTTAAATTTCGAATTAATGTTTTTGTAATCCATTATTAAAATATCTTAAACTTCAAGTTGCACACCATTGATCTAAATAAATATATAATAAACTACAGTCACTTTAAACCTTGTTTTAAAGGAAAAATTATAAATGATTTTAATCAAATAACAAAGTAGTATAATTCTTTTAACTAACTCGAGTACTTAATAATTAATTGTGATTGTGATTTTTTTAAATATGTTGTATGAAGCACATGCTGGTATGTTATATGTAACAAGCTGTCACTTCACTTATTTAAGTAAATCAAGCTTATTATTTTATTAAAAATTAAAATATGTATTTTTAAACCATTTATAATAATTGAATACATATAAAAATAAAACTTACATCAAAACAATTTTTAAATTGTTTAAGAACTGTGATGAATTATTTTGACTAATAATACCAACGTGTTTTGTTAAAAGTAGTGAAAAAAGTTTTCCAAGTTTTTCCTTATATGATGGATGTTGCTTCTCATAAGAATCTACAATGTTCATTATTCCTTGTAAAGTAAGTCTGCTTATATTATCCATAGAACTTATTATTTCACTGTATTTTTCATTGACATTGAGATCTATTGGCATAGAAAAATTATATAGGTTTTAAATTATATTCATGCTAAAAACATTCATAATATAGGGATATAAAACCATTATTATATTCACTATTAATACAATAGTAAATAACTGTTTAATATGGTTCCTACATAAAAAACTTAATTTGTTTAACATGCTACCTATATTTTTAAAGACAAGGCTATTAATTTTCTGAAAATATAGAACTAACAAATGAAATATCTTTATAATTAAATTCAGACTCTGAAAATAATAATATAAATTTGAAGTACGGCCAATAAGACCAAAGGCTATCAATATTTAATTTGTGTTTTTCAAATGGTGATATTCTACAGTGCTAATTTTAAATTGAAATGTTGAAAATATTATCATCAATATATTATACATCAACATTAAAATATATACTTAATATTTATTGAAATATTTGAACATTTATTTCATAGAAAAATAAAAAAAAATAATTTTATTTGAATACATTATTTTAAACATCTCAAACAATTGAGCAAATATGAACTATTACAAACAACTAAAATCAGTAAGATATTATGATTTTTGTTTAAATTAATTGTCATCTAAATAGTATCTTAACAACTAAATGTCATGTAAGTAGCACATTAACATGTGTCTCATAATATAACTGTAAAAAGTAAAATTACCACATATCATTGAAAATTGTTTTAAAGATATCAATGGTTCTGGTAAGTAATAAAGCCACATAACTAGTATTGATGCAACATCTACTGCATCAATATCTACTACTGTTTTACAACTTTTTTTTGAGCCAGACACTAATTCATAAGCACTTATAATATTGGCTTTACGTCCAGTAACAGAATATGTTTCATCAAATAGGCATTCTTCATATAATCCTAAAATTAAATATATATTATTAACAAATTTTCTAAAATTAAACAATTAAATATTGTAATTTAAATTAAATTTGTAATAACTATTAATCCACATAAATACCATAGTCAATTATGTAATCATTTATATTTTCTACAATAAGTGGTAATCCATCACAATTCAATGGCAATTTTTCCAACGGCAAACCAATTAAAATCATTTTTTCTGAATTATATTCTTCTAATAACATCTCAAACTTTGTTTCAACCTGTATTTAATTAAATTGAGTATTTAATAAGATTTAGTATAATAATCTATTAAAGATTAAGGCTTTAATCCAATGTATATAGTTCATAGGTATATGAATAATAGTAATATTAATAATAATAATTAAATATAACTAAAATTGCATTTAAACGAGATTTCTTTTATTAAATATACTTATCCTTGATTGTAAGTTACATCAAAATTTAACATTACTGAATAAACAAAAACTATTATTTATTTTGAAACTTGTAAACCATATATTTTACTAAAAACAAACCACTATTAATTATTAAATTAAGTAGGCTGTACTAGGAAGATTGCCCAAGGTTAAAAATTATTGTAAGAAGATAAATAAAAAAAACTACATAATTTAATAAATATGTTATTTGTTATAATATTAAATATGAACAATGGAAATATTTTACCTGCTTACTAAGCATATGTGTGTCATTACAACAAAAAGTTAGTTTCATTTTCATGCAATTCAAACTCTTGGTAATTTCCTGAAAACAAGAATGATTTTTACCATAGTTAGTACACAACTATACAATTAACTGGAGATCATTAACAACTTACTGCAAACCACTGCAGTAATTTAAACAGCTTGACTCAGTTTTATCACTCAAATTATTAATATTAAAATTAGATAATCATATCCCAATCACGGCACATTTTAATGCCTTTATGGCTGCTTTAAGAAGTGTGTTGATACAAGACGTAATTTTAACATATAAAGGTGTATAAATTAATCTTCATAGTAATGACTGTATTTAAAACATATAACAATCAATCTGTAAAAAAATAATAAAAATAATAATCATAACAACTGTTACAACACTGACAAATCCAATGTAAATATTGTAAATATAAAATGTTATTGTTCAATAACAAACACATATTACTCATTCCTTAAACAAATAAACATGACAGGTATTATTAATTTATTGTATGTTAAATGAAACCAAATTAATAAAATTACAGTTTTTCATTAAAATTGCATAGCTAAATAATATTTAAAATTAACAGATGGTTCAATAATGTCTTATAATATTATCTGTTGATACATCGTTTCGTAATAAAAAAATTTTTCACTTTACTTCTTATTAATTGGGTATTTAACCAACTTTATTATTTTTATAAAATACCTAGGTAGTATTGCTAATTGACACATTCGCATTGTCCATTTATACCTACTATACCTATTTATTTTATATTTAATTTATAATTGTTATCTTGTGATAAATAAATCATACAAATAAATATATAAATCTATATATAAAACAGGGGCGTCATTTCAGGTTATTTTTCAGGTGTGCGAGGTTTCAAGCAGACCATTTTGAAATTTCACCAGGCCATATAAAAATAGATATATATACATATATGTATGCATTATCCTGCTTTTAATTATTTCCATACATCTCATGGATCGAATCAATGCATCAATATAAATAGGCGATAAAAATCAATTTAAAAACTAAAATATAATGAATAATTAACAATCATAATAATTGACTGTATATACCAATATTGATAAATGTCAATATAAAAATTTAAATACAATTTAAGAAGATTTAATTTTGAGCTTTATCTCAGCAGGGCACAGGCCAATTAGTATGTTATTTTAAAAGTAAAGGATGCAACTGCACTCTAATTCCCCCTCCAAATGACGCAAATGATATAAAAACAATAAAATAATTTAGAAGTATGAAAGTTATGTTTGGCTAAGATAAATAAATAATAAAGAAAAAACTAATGAATAGTAACAAAATAATTATTTAGATGTGTCAAAATCATAAATTTGTCTTTATTTAAAACTATAATATAGAATAAATAATTTAAATAATTCAATTAATTTAGAATATTTGAAATTGATCTTATTTATAAAAATAAATAATAACACAATGCTTAATAATATTGAATACTTAATTTAAAATTATTATCTATTTAGTATAGGTACTTAAAAGATGTTTAAATTAATATAAAAACTATTATCAATGAACATATTATAAAAAATGTATACCTATTCTTCAGGATATAAATACTTTATATAAAGTACTTTTTTTAATTATATATATTATAATTGTAATTATTCCACATAATTAATACTAATTTTATACTGGTGTCTATAAATATACAAACTAAACTTTTGTTAGGTTGAGAGAGTATACTTAAAAAAAGAAATTTATAAATTTATCTAATACCGTAATGGCTTAGGTTCTATAAATATTTTTAACCTACCTATAATGAGATTAAACTATAATAATTATAATTTTGATATCATTGTTTTACACAATTTGCGTTTGTTCGCAGATTAAGTCTGGAATACCAATTAAGTGTAATGTTAAACCAACACAGATAGTGAACAATAGGTTAAATTACATACTTACATAATGACTATTATTAAGTTACAAAATAATCTCAAAAAAAAAATTAATTGGAATGTCAAGATTAAGATCATGAATTCAATATTAATATACATATTATGATATTAATGATTACTCATAAGAAACAAGGTATCTATGTAATATGAGAAAAATAAAAAAATCTTTCAAGCAAGTATGGGACAAATGTCAAATACCATACATTGAAAGAATTAATATTATAAGGTAAATGCAGAGTGCATGTGCATACTAAACTAGTTATTATAATATAATGCGATAAAATAACAGCACAAGATTCCCAATTAGCCATTCAAAAATTCTTCTCATTTATAGAGTAATAATTCTTGTTATAATTAATACATAAAACCAAATCCAGATAAATTTCCCCCTTTAAAAAAAAAAAATCAAAAATTAGATTTTAAAAATTTCACAATTTTTAATGTATTTCTTAAGATTTAAAATGATTATCAGAGTAATAAGAGATGAATACAATTATATAAATATTAGATTAAGATATTCAGCAAGCTAGAAAAAGTTTTGATCAAACTTATATGAGCTACTCGTTTATAATTATTAATACATCTTGGTAAAGGCAATTTTTTTTTTTTTAATTTCACATTGGGGCTCCCAAAACGTTTTATACTGGTGTCTCGAAAATCTTAATCCAGATTTGCGTAATACCTAATTCCCTATAATTTAATAAAATACGGATTGCACAATAATAACAGCATACTCAACGGTAGCTGGGTCAGGTAATAGTTGACAAAAACTTACTTCTCACGATGTCGAAACCAGGAATACGACTGGATAGTGAATGTGAATTGGTGTCGGTCAAAAATTAAACGGTGAGATTTGAATGGACGAACACCTAGTGATCGTCGTGTTGTTCGTTAGTCGTTTGAGCTCGTGACCGGCATCAACAGAATTTCGCACGGTGTGGTGATCAGTTACTACTACAGACCGAAATAGTGAAGTGTCTCGCTGAAACTAAGCACCTGCGAGTACAGCGCCACAGCCCACAAGGACTAAAATTTCGGGGAGGGAAGTGTTATTGTTAGTTAAATAATATTTTGTTGTCTGATTGACGGAAGCATTGAGTACTATATGGACGGAAGATACACCATTATCGGCAATGACTGGTAGTGGGCCAAGGTGGATATATCATATATATATATCTATCTTGTAGAGGGCTATGGATATTGTGATAGCAGTGTATGGAATATAGAAATGGAAGGGCTGAAAACCAGCCGTACCAACACGGCCACCAAGTAGACGTCGTGCAGTCTGCGCTCCAAGTCCAATATTAAATCATTTTTATTTTTTTCATTTTTGTAAAATTGTAAGTACCTATTAAGTATTGGTCGGTTGAACTAAAAAATATGGTCTCACTGGTCTCAGACCGAACATTCCATTTGACATCGAACCGAACCCGTACCAAATATTTTGTTTAATACCGAACTGATTCTGAAATCTGAACCAAGCTTTTATGAGTAAAATTTAAGTATTATAGCAATTTGAATTATTTTATAAATTATAATATTCTAGACATTTTTCTTCACAGCTAAGATACTTGTAAGTAAAACATTTTTATCGTATATTACTATTGTTTTTTTTAAATGAATAAAATAACTTATTGTTTATTATAGACAACTTACTCGAATAAGTGTTAATAATAAATAATAATTTATCATGAACATGATTACATGAACAATAATTAATATGGACTATCATTTTAATATCGTCCAACAAGTTAGGAACGTCGACTTTTTAAATAATACAAAGCCAAAACAATTATACGTACGGGTTATTTTCTCATATTTCCTCTAGTTAACAACTCTATACTAAATAATTCGATTTACTTGATTATTTTTTCGATTGCCGAGTTTAGATCTATAATTGAATCTAGAAATAAATATTATAGTCTAAAAGTCAATAATAGTAATATACCTACGCCTATTTTTGACAATTTCAATGGACAAAACTAAAATCGTCCGAGATATCATACTATCGTTTTCGTTAATAATATGCGCGGATGGGGAAGTAATGAAAACAATATGTGCATTAAAGGTCTAGAAAATAAAATACCTAGCAGAAAAAGTATTGAAACATATTTTTTTGTATTGTGATATTTTTAATACAGTTTATATTATAATAATTGATTATCGATATATTAAAACGATTTTTTGTTTAACGTTTTAAACACAGTGATCGTCATTTGAAGTTTTAGTTATATAATATTATATTATAATTATATATTACAATATAAATTACTGTAAAGTACCTACCGCGTTATAAACAGCTCTTATCCTCCACGTAAAAATAAAATAAAAATGTAAAAATAGTCAGTTTCCGGTGTATTGAAATTAATAAATAACCAAAAATCTAAATTTTTTCGTTGTTAAAATAGATAATTATCAAAATATAAATTTAAAAATAAACACCAAAATATTTATTTTTTTGCAATATTTGATGCGTTTGAATATTTTTTTTTTAGAGTTTGAACATTTTGGACTATTTTGAAGTTCGGATAAATTATAAAATTTTGAACTTTTTGTTCGAATTCAGTTCAGTATCAATAATTTCAATATTTTTATGTATAAATCTATACAGTTGCTATAAAAATTATTATTTATTATTAATAATTATTAGTTAAATTATATTAGATATTTGACAATTGATATTGTAGAAAATTAACTACATAATTTATGCGCCCCTGACGGCAGTAATATATAATATTATTATTATTATTTATAATAATTATATCACATATTTGTTTGGTCTTAATTATAAATTATGCTTATTTATACTACAAAATATTTCATTATGACTAGAGTACTGCATACGAGGAAGTCGAGGCAATGGGGTATTTATCAAGGTTTCGTCTAATCTACTTAAGCATTGGCTATATATATAATATTATGTACAGTATTTAATAACTAATTCTTTTATTAAATTAGACAACTACCGATTAACATTAAATTAATCATTTTGAGATAGCAACTAGGTATTAAACTTAACTTCATTTGTTAAAAACACCCTTTTAATTGAAACTACAATTTTTTATTGCTTTAGCAGTTTAGCTTATTGATTTAATATGGTCGACATGGTTTTTGGGGTCCTGGAATTTGGTTGTTTGAAGCCGAAATGCTGAATGAATATCTTTATTAATTATTATATACATTTATACTTACTAGTTACTTGTTAGTAGGTAATTGTCAACAAAATTATACCATAAATTAAATACCTATACGTATATTTAACCTATATTTATTATCACTTAATTAGATAATAGGTAAACATTAGTTATAAAACAAGTATATCGAGGGTCGCGTTAACCCAGTTGTAAAAGGAGCATTTGCTCCAGACGACAAAAGACTGAAACTACTTATTTGAAAAATGAAATGTAACAATGGCTTTTATTAATTTTTATTTTTTGTTCAATACCTAAGAAAATTTTGAAAAATAAGTTTAAATCATTTCAATATTAACTTTGTATTTTTCATCAAAACACTACTTATAATATTATAAATTATCTAATTCCTATAGTAAGTATTGAACGATACACGTTATTAGTTATTACACAAATCACACATTAACATCTAATGGTTTTTCGGGGCCTTTTGATGAAAAATTTTCGAATATAATATTAATGATTACATTTTAAATTGTTTCAAACGAATTTACAAACACCTTACACTTTAAAAAAAAAAGTAATAAGGTATTTAACAAAAAAAAAAAAAAAAAACATTAACAAGTAGCTGTGGGCCGTAGTAGAAAAAATTTGCAAATTTTTACTTTTTTATGTATGCTCATAGTTTATTAGCATCACAACTATAATGATGAATATGAAGTTTCGAAATTCAAACCTTATTCGTTCACCTAGATATTGTATGAAACAAGGTTTTCTCAAAAAAAACGGTTTTTTTGGAGCATTTCGATGTAAAATTTTTGAAAATCATATCAATGATTATATAAAAAGGTAGAGGGACATTGCATCAAACGTTCTAGCCTATTTTTAACGACTTTTAAAACATCCTTCTACTTAAAAAATGATAATAGGTATTTGCTTTAAAAAAAAAGCAACAGTGGGCTATTTTTGAAAAAAAAATTGCTTATTTTCTTTCTTTTTGTACTCATAGTTTTCTGGCATCTCATCTAATGGTGGATATGAAGTTTCGAAATTCAAATCTCATTCCTTCACCTAGATATCGTAAAACGTGGTTATTTAAAAAAAAAAAACAGTTTTTCAGGGCTTTTTGTTGTAAATTTTTCGAAAATTGTAGCAACGATTACATATAAAGATAAAGCGACAGTGCATAAAACATTTTAAATTGTTTCAAACGAATTTACAAACACTTTACATTCTAAAAAGAGTTATTACTATGTTTTTAATAAAAAATTATTGTAGAGTATCATCTTAAAATCTTATACATTATTTATAGCACTAAAAATAGTGTTTTTTTTAATCCACTATAAGTTTGCGGTATTTTGTTTTACAATGCCAGATAAAATGTATGCGGTTTTCGAATGCAACCTATAATAGGTTTGTATTATTAAAAGTACCTAATTATGAAATATCAATATATATATATATATAATTATATAAGTTTATAATATAGTACTTTAGTGTATAAGAAAATATGTTAATGCCGAATGGATATTTCTATGTCCTAAACGACCTAAACAAGGCTAGACATACTTTGTTTGAAGTGTTTAAACGTTTCACCATTATAGATTTGTAGAAAGGCATATTGGCACATTACTGTGTTGTATGTCGTGTATATACCTATATTGATTTTAATGCAAATAAGTAATAACAAAATACATATTTCTTACAAAATATGTACTTTAACATTTAAATACTTCAATAGTTAACTATATTGACCTCTAAATGTGATGTAGTGGCCAAAGATAAGTCTATTTAATTTTAATGAACCCCAAAATTGCTGTCGCCATATGTACCTAGATACGTCATGGTACGCACGATGGTCGACAGAACCTAGTAATAATATGGACTATGGGTGATAGAGATAATAATACCCATTTTTTCCAAATAGTGATCTTTTTTGGACACATACTAGTTGCGGACAAATTATTCAGGTCAATATTATAACATAACAATTATTGCGGACACGAGTTTCATTGTCATATGACATATAATACTAATTGCAAACAGAATATTTTTTAATTAAAACCACAAGAGTTGCCCTTCACCACTTTTTCAGGGCTCAAGCAAAATTTTTTTTTGAAACAGTCTATGTAAATGATACTCTACTGATTTCACCACTGGAATATTACAACATTTGTTTACTGATAAATGTCTCTTTTTTAACAGTTTTTTTTATTCGTTTTAAATTTCGTACAGCAGTAGGTGCAATTCATTTTCGTATAGCTACCAATCTGTATTTCATTTAAGGCGTCGATCAATTGGTTTATAATAGGGTGACTGCGATAAAATATTCCATTAAGGTTAGCATGAACACTTTCACAAGCATTTGCAGTTCGTGAAATAGAAGAAATTTAAGTTTTTCACTGTACATTTTTATATAGAAAATAGATGATAAATATTAAGCAAGCATGAGTAAGGTTGTGGTTAAACTGATCAAACATATTTTTGAAGTCTCAATATCGTCAATATCAAACAGTAATTTCCCAGCGTCTATGATTGTTATATAAAAAATAATAATTGGATATTAGTCTGCAATTAATATCTTATATATGTCCGCAATTCGTATGTTACCTTTTCAGATTTTGTTTGCAACTCGCATAGTTTTTGTCACTCTGTCCGCAATTAGTAAAAACTGCTTTTTTCATTATCATTTACCACTAAATGAGATATTGTCAAAATTACTATATTTCCATTAAAATAATTTCTGCACTATTAAAAACTGTTATATATTTTTAATTAAGTACTAAAAATATTGAATAATAGATTCTGTATCGAAACTGAGTTTGAGATTTTAATAAAACATATAAAAAAAAAAAATGATTATAATAATTATAATATAAAAAAATAATAGAAAATTTGCAAAATTATATGCCCCGGGTGAGGATCGAACTCACGACCTTAAGATTATGAGACTTACGCGCTGCCTACTGCGCTACCGAGGCTTGTGTTGATTATGGGAAATAACAGTTATTTAACTATGACTACAAAGA